TCTGTAATCCCAGCTACTCGGGAGACGGAGGCGGGAGAATTGCTTGAACCCAGGAGGTGGAGGTTGCAGTGAGCTGAGATCAAGCCACTATCCAGCCTGGGTGACAGAGCAAGACTCCATCTCACAAAAAAAAAAAAGAAAAAGAAAAATAACCAGCTTTAAAGGCTGCTGCAAATGTAAACCACTGAAAGCATTGCTCTAGTCCATCAGCTTTCTAATCAGCAAGCAGTGTCCTTTTTGAAACGGCTGAAGTGAGTCTGGCTCCCCCAGTCCTCAAAGGCCCTTCCAGCACCCATTGCTTCTCTTGCGACGTCTGCAACATGAACCATCAAACAAAGCTGGCTACACTGCCGTAATGATCACTCCCTCCCAGCTTCCACTGAAGACCAATGAAATGGCTGTTGTCTGGGAAGCTCTTAAGAGAAGAAAATGTGAACATTCAAAGCTACTCAGGTGGGTGTAATGGGCATGATCTCTTCAGTAGATGCAGGGGCACCTCTACCTTTATTCTGCTGGTAGGAGAGAAATTCCATGCAAGTCATGAAGTTTTAATCCAAGTGAGGCTGGGACCTCCAAATGGCATCAGGCAAAGCCTGAATATTCAGTTTTCCTTATAGGTTCCCGAGACCCAGTCAGGCTTGCACAGAGGTCAGTGAGCTTCTAATATAAGCCCCAGTCACAAACTGAGCAAATTCCATCTGGGTGCAACCTCCCATTCTCAGTTGCCATCTTGAGAAGGCATTTGCTAGTTGGCTGCTCTAAGAAAGCCCTTACAGGTGACCCACCTTGATCGCAGCCCCAGCATCTAACCAAACTCCTTTGGAAGTCCGGTCCTTTAAAGAAGTTCTCACCTCTATCCTCCAAAGCCTTTTAACCGAGTCATAGTCCTCCAGACTGAGAAACTGTGGATAGCCAGGGCAGACAGAAGCATTGGCTCATGTTCCTAGGGCGTGAGAGTTCCACTTTCCAGGCTTATATCAGCTTAGCTCAGAGGCTTATTAGAGAGTTCTGCAAGTGTTATCAATCAACCTGGCATGCCTCCGCCCTTGAAATAACCAGATCTAAAAAATACTCCTGTCTGCCTTACCTTTACCAACAAGTGAGTGGCATTATTCCAGACACACAAATCATGCCCAGTCCCCAGGAGCAGTGCCATCAAATGGGCTGGGAACAGCAGTTGCTGCGAAGAGCCAGTGGGCCCTACACAAATGTAGTAGCCAGGGATTCAGTTCAGGACAGGTGGGCTCCACAGTTCAGCAGGTCACTTGTGTGCCTAGGTCAGAAAAAGAGCCCTTAAAGGTCACCTGGAGTCTACCCCTTATTATTTTGCAAATCCTGGAGTGGTCTCAGCTCCAGGACCTCCACTGTCCAGAAACTCACGCTCTACCAAAGCAGCCCATTTGATGCACTCTAGACAGCTCTGATAACTTTCTATGCCAGGCAAACTGAGTACTCTGAATCTTTCACTTTTTTTTTTTTTGAAACAGAGTCTCGCTCTGTCACCCAGGCTGGAGTGCAATGGCGTGATCTCGGCACGCTGCAACCTCCACCTCCCGGTTCAAGTGATTCTTCCTCAGCCCCAGTAGCTGAGACTACAGGCTTCCACGCCATCATACCTAGCTAATTTTTGTATTTTTTAGCAGTGGGGTTTCACTGTGTTAGCCAGGCGGTGGCCAGACTCCTGACCTCAGATGATCCACGTGGCTTGGCCTTTCAAAGTGCTGGGATTACAGGCATAGGCACGTGCCTGGCCTCTGAATCTTTCATGGAGTGATTAGAGTTGAGTAGAGTTCACTCCAAAAAACGATCTTAGGAACAGCAAAGGCAGCGCAGAGGGGTTAGAATGTCTCTATTCATCTTCTGGGGCCCTCTGCTTGAGAACACAGGGTGGGGGTGTGGTCCTTACCCAGAAGGGCTTTGGGTTAGACAAGGCTCCACATAGAACAACAGGACTCCTCAAGGTCATTTGCCCATTTTTTGAACCTACAGGAATGAATGGAGTATGTTTCGCTCTCCTTTCCCCTGGAGTGATCACAGATAAAGTAACTGTTGAGAGCTGTGAAGGCACAGGCTTTTACCCATGTTAAGCCAACAGGGTGGCCTGCTACAGTTTTGTGGATGCTGGCAGAAGACATGAGACTTCTGTGCCGAGACAAAGGACCATGTATTACCCACAGCCCAAGCAGTAGCCACAGTATCAGCATTGCCCAAATCCAGCTCCCACAAGGGTGCCCAGTGCAGGAGGCCAAGCTGAGCCTGGAGTGGGTTGTGTGACAGGACAGGACCCTGAGCACAGGGGAAGCTGAAGCTTTGATAAGGGACAGTAAGCCTGCCTGCCCTTTTCTCCAAAGAAGACACAAGGCTGTTCACTATATAAACATCCTTAAAAAGATAGTCTAGAACAAAAGGGCAGATTGTGGTGTGCTTTACTCACAGGATGTGCAGAAAAGCAAGAGACTTATGGAAAATGGACTCCTAACAATATATTAAGCACCACTGTCCCATACTCCCCCAGAGTGATTGCAGATAGTAACCCAACCTGATGGCAAAGTGATGTTATACTAACAGCAACCCTAGTGATGGCCAGAAACCAGTATTTGTAGATTGCTTTCTGGTTTTCAAGGTGTTCTACTCACCTACAACTCCTGTTCCATAAGACTCAATACAGCTCATATTTGTTTTAACTAATGTTTCCCATAAATATGTTAATTATTTTCTAAATTGTCCCTCTTGTAAGAGGATGCTAAAGAGGATCAAAATCCAACCCCTTATTGTACAGAAGAAACTGATGCTGTGGAGGACAAAGGGACTCATTCCAGGTGACCACAGGAGGGGTGAGAATGCGTAGCTGCAGCCATTCCCTTTAGCTCCCCTGGGCACTTCACATGTGAAGAGAGGTGGAGGTACCAGATTCAGTGGGAATGCGCTGGGAGTCTCTAGGAACAAGCTGCTTCTCTCTGGATCTCGGGGCAGTACAGCAGCATATAGTAGCTCTCTGTAAATGCTCATTGAATTAAATTATATTAGAAAGGGACCAGGAGAACGATGAGGAAGGAAGGGGTCCTGTGCATCAGAACTGAAGGGAGCAGATGTGAGGACCATCTACATATGTCAAATGACACACAATAACAGTTGGGGCTGGGCGCGGTGGCTCACACCTATATTCCCAGCACTTTGGGAGGCCAAGGCGGGCTGATCACTTGAGGCTAGGAGTTTGAGGCTAGCTGGCAATAACACAGTGAAACTCCATCTCCTAAAAATACAAAAAAAAAAAAAAACTTAACTGGGCATGGTGGTGGCGCCTGTAATCCCAGCTACACGGGAGGGCAGGGCAAGGAGAATTGCTTGAACCTGGGAAGCAGAGGTTGCAGTGAGCCAAGACTGTGCCATTGCACTCCCAACCTGGGTGACAGAGCAAGACTCAAATCTCAAGAAATAATAATAATAAAACAGTTGGAAAGAGGGGTCTGGAAACTTTGTGGTCTGGACAGTTCAATAAACAACCGTACATATGTATGTATATACATGTATATGTATGTATCAACCTGGCATGCTGCCTCAGCCCTTGAAATAACCAGATCCCAAAACACTCCTATCTGCCTTATCTCTGCACCAGCAAGTGGGTAGTATTATTTTCAGACACACAAATCATGCCCTAGTCCCCAGGAGCCATACATATATATGTATGTATATATACGTATATGTGTGTATATATACACACACACACACACAAACACACACATATAATACATACAAGGTCTGGAAACCTTGTGGTCTGAATAGTTCAGCGACAAGGTTTCACCATGTTGGCTAGGCTGGTCTTGAACTCCTGACCTCAAGTGAACTCCTGACCTGCGCCCACCTCAGCTTCCCAAAGTGCTGAGATTACAGCCGCCAGAGCCACCGCACCCGGCCCTATGTATATCTCTACAGTCCTCTCATCTTGCTTTGTTATATTTTGCCCTCATGGTTTTCCTGGGTTCCAGGCAGGTCTCTCTGATGGGACATCAGGCTTTGTAAAATTGAAGAATAAGGCAAGAACTGTTTTCTCTCCTTTTGGATCCCCTGAGGCCCTGACACTATCTTACATGTAAAAACTGCAAGGGGCGCTGGCGTGGTGGTTCACACCTGTAATCCCAGCACTTTGGGAGGCTGAGGTGGGAGGATCACCTGAGGTCAAGATTTTCCTTCCTTCCTTCCTTCCTTCCTTCCTTCCTTCCTTCCTTCCTTCCCTCCTTCCTTCCTTCCTCTCTTCACTGAGTTCCTGACCAAAGGAGGTGTTTTCTTACTTGGCATGGGTTTATGAAAGTGAATTTCATGTTTGTTAAGCACTAGGCAATTTTCAGATGCAAAGAGCGTAGGCCGTGCATGATTACTTGTTCCAGTTCTCTCTGATCTGTGCATACCTGAGGCGCAGGCATCTGCACAAGCTTAAATAATGTAAAAGGCATAACTCATTGATACCTCCGGCTTTAGCAAGATTTACTCCTACCAATTTGAGTCATGCAAGTTAGGGTGTTTTTTTTTTTGCAGATTTCTTTTTTACTGCTGAACTACTTGTGTATCTTATCCTTCAAAATCTTCCATATCTGTAATTGCCAATTAGTACCCTGATTTGGCAAATTCCTAGGCACTTCAGTTCAGCAATTATATGATTCAAACCCAGAAAAGCAGTTTGAGACCATTTTGTTTTGCTGGTCTGCAGGCAGATTCCCTAGTAGTAATCCAGATGTTGTGCTGCAAACTGGAAACCATTCTCTCCCCATTTCCTTGCAGACATTGGCTAAGTACACATTGATTTAATAAGATGATTTCCCAATACAGCCAAAAAGACTGAGCATCTCGGCATAATTTAGAGGCTATAACATTTAGGAGAAGTCTCATGTGATAGTGTTAAGTTAAAATCAGAGATATTAGGCCTCATCGCCCTGTAATGCTTAATTAACTTTGTGCTTTTTTTTTTTGCTTTTTTTTTTTTTAACTTGTCTTATGTCTCCCAGCCAAAGACCAGTCCTGTCAGGGGGATGAAGAGAAAGACCCTCCGAAGAGGCACCCTTACTCTGTGGAGACCCCATATGGCTTTCATTTAGACCTGGACTTCCTCAAGTATGTGGATGACATCGAGAAGGGGAACACCATCAAAAGAATTCCTATCCACAGAAGGGCCAAGCAGGCCAAGTTTAGCACTCTGCCCCGAAACTTCAGCCTTCCTGACAGTGGGGCTCGCCCCCCTGCAGCCCCGCCGCCCCAAAACTGGTCCCCAGTGGTGCCAAGGAAGGCATCGCTTGGGACACAGGAGCAAACCCAGTCACTGCCGCTTGGTAATGCCTCCCAGGCCTCAACCAGCGCGAGTGAGGTGAGCTACCACAGGAGGGCCCTGTTGGCAGAGGCCACCAGGCAGTTGGAAGCTGCTGAACCAGAGGATGCCGAGGTCACCCTTGGGAGTGGACGGCCCCAGCTATTGAGAGCATCCAGCATGCCTGCCACGCTGCTGCACAGCAGGGCTTCTGAGGAGCCAGGCCTCAGCCCGGGGCCTCCTGCCCCTCCTGCCCTCCCTCCCCTTCAGGGTGAAGGCAGCGTCTGCGATGGCACCTTTGGCCCTGCAGAAGGATTGGCAGGTTTCCACAGCTCCAGCCCACAAGCATCAACTCGGATTCCGGAGCTGGTCCAGGAGGGAGCTGAGCCTCCAGAGGGCACGGTGAAGGCTCCAAATCACCTCCCTCTCCCAGGCCCTCCTTCCTCATTCCAGAATGTGCTTGTAGTTCTAGAGGACAAGGAAGATGAACACAAAGCCAGAAAAGCAGAGGTGGTGTTCACCCCCGGCTCCCCCACACCAAGCCCTCCTCCTCTGCCATCACCCATCCCTGAGAATGAGCTCCTCCTGGAAGAAATCGAGCTCAACATCAGTGAGATTCCACCCCCGCCACCTGTAGAGGTGGACGTGAGAAGCATTGGCATCAGAGTAACGGAGGAAAGCCTGGGCCTTGCCAGGGTGGATCCAGGCAGCATCTCCAGCCTGAAACAGCAGGTCTCGGCCCTGGAGGGAGAGTTGTCTGGAAGAACCGAGGAACTGGTGCAGGTCAGAGCTGCCCTCCAGCAGCAGGAAGAGGAAATCAAGGCTAGGGAGCAAAGAATTCGAGAGCTGGAGTTCACTGTAGCCCAACTGGAAGGACAGCTTCACCAAGAGAACACCAAAGACACTCAGGGCCAGACGGACGCCATGGTGAACACTGACCCTGTCCATGGACTCTTGACCAGGGAGTCGTGTGACAAGGGCATTGAGGTCAACCTTCTAGGCAGCATGGAGTCTGAAAGCTGGGGACACCGAGGAGAGGAAAATGGCCTCCTATGGGGGCCAGATGGTCATAAACAAGGGGATCAGAGCCCAGCAGAACATGTGCCCCAGCTGTCACTGCCACAGGGACCCGAGCAAGTCCTTACCCCCTCTGTACATAGCTTCCTCTCCACTGAACTCAGGATTGAAGAAGCAGGCACTGAACAGGAAGGAGGCCCTCAGGGAGGAACCAGGGGAGCAGGAGGCTTTCTGTGGGGCAGCGACAGAAAGACTCCCCCAGCAGGGAGAGAGGAGGCCAATTCCGATCTCCCAGGGAAGGAGCGCCAGGGAAGGCCACCGAGCTCGCCAACAGATGCCACTATTGGGCAGTACGTGAAGAAGATCCAGGAGCTCCTGCAGGAGCAGTGGAACTGCCTGGAGCACGGGTACCCAGAGCTGGCCAGCGCCATCAAGCAGCCGGCCTCCAAGCTCAGCAGCATCCAGAGCCAGTTGCTGAGCTCCCTCAACCTGCTGCTGTCAGCCTACTCGGCCCAGGCTCCCCCACCCAAGGAGCCGCCGGCCTCCTCCTCCTCCCCGCCGATGGGTAAATACCGTCAATACAGGGGCCTGAGACAGGGAGCCCTTTCTCCTTCACATGATGAGGCAGAGAGAACAAGGTTTTCATTATATTAATGTGCTTTTAAAAAGATTTTAGCAGCTGGGAGCAGTGGCTCAGGCCTGTAATCCCAGCGCTTTGGGAGGCCAAGGTGGGCAGATCACCTGAGATCAGGAGTTCAAGACCAGCCTGGTCAACATGGCGAAACCCCATCTCTACCAAAAATACAAAAATTAGCCGGGCATGGTGGTGGGCGCCCTGTAATCCCAGCTACTTGGAAGGCTGAGGCAGGAGAATCGCTTGAACCTGGGAGGCAGAGGTTGCAGTGAGCTGAGATCACACCATTGCACTCCAGCCTGGGTGACAGAGCGAGACTCCATCTCAAAAAAAAAAAAAGAAAGAAAGAAAAAAGAATAAAAGATTTTAGTACTTCCAGAAACCCAGTGGAATAAAAACTAATGTGTATGACAGTGGAGGCTCGGGACCTCTACTCTTGCCTTTGCTCTAAGGTTGGGTCTGACTGTGAGGCCACTGCCTACAGCTGTATGGATAGCACAGGGCACAAAGATGGCAGCCAGGGAGGGCAAATGAAAGTTGAAAGCCAGCCCACACTCCATTTGCCAAGCCTTGCACTGCAGCACCGCATCCACCCAGAGGGGGCTGTTCTCATTTGCATTGTGCAAAGGCAGTGTCTGGGGCCATCAATGGCCCTGCTGCGTGGACTCCAAACCTCTTCCTGGGCTTTTGCATTCCTGTGTTCCTCTCTGGTTCTTGCACAGTGGAAGTTTTCTATAGCCTGGTTTTGGAGGAACATTATATTGATATCTGGTATAGTTCACTGAATATTTTCTCTGCATGCATGTGTGTGTGTACGTGCTTGTGTGTGTACAGGGGCAGGAGATTGAGTGCTGCTCACATATGGAACTGGGCCCTTCGGCTGAGCAGCACTTCCTCTTGTAACAGATCAAACCCTCTTCACTGTTGGGTAAAGTGGAACCACATTTTGCTTTGCTGGGCAGCATGCAAGTCTGCTTCCTACCACAAATCACGATTTGGCTGCTTTCTCGTTGTTTCGGTGCTAGTTCTAGCCTTGCCGGTTGGGAACCGCCTCCTGTCCTGTGGAGCACAATGCAAGATCTGTGTCCTTGCTCATGTGTCTACTGTGAGCACGGTGTCATCACCACTCCCACAACCCTAGTGTCAACATGCATTTGTGAGCCAGGAAGGACCACTGAGATGCCCTTGAGCAGAAGTGGGTGCTGGACCATGAGTCCAGAGGCCTAAGTTCTTCTCCTGCACTGCCATTCACTGAGCAAGTCTGGGCCTCAGATTTCCCAGCCGTAAGACAAGGACAGCAATGACACCTACGCCACATTGTTCTTCATCCACACCTAGAGGGGCATCGTTAACAGAGACAGTTCTCCCGACATTGAGCAGAAAGCAAGGCTCCCCCAAGAGGTCCCCAAAACACTGATTTACATGATCTGGTTCCCTGTCCTTCCCTTACCTCTCCACACACCGGCAATCCTTGTCCCCTCAAAGTAATATCCTGGTTTTGCTACATTGCCATGCGTCCCCAAGATCATTCTAACCTGTGATGTTGTGTCTGCCTAGAGATCTCCCCGTCGACCAGCCTTAAATCCATAATGAAAAAGAAAGACTATGGCTTCCGTGCAGGAGGTAATGGAACCAAAAAGAACCTTCAGTTTGTTGGGGTTAACGGTGGGTAAGCATCGCTTGTGAAGCTCAGACTGCCTTTCTTGCTACCTCTCCGGCTATGGTCCTTCACACTCTCTTTTCCTAGGGGGAGGCATCTGGTTTTCATTCCTTTTCAAGGGAATTAATTTCAATGGCCCTTTACAACTCCATCTCGGGTTTGCATGTGTTTGGCTTCCTGCCAGCTGTGGTGGTCTGTTGGAACCTCTGCTTTTAATATGTCTTGGCTTTGGTCTTCCCCAGGGCCAGGACTCCAGGTGGCTTCTGGGAGTTTTGGGGGTATACAGGCCCTTAGAGGAAGGCATTTAACTTGAACCATAAAACTGAAACTAGTAACAAACTTTGTTAATTCATGGAACTTCAAATTTCATCCATTTAATTTTTTTCTTCCTTTAACTTCCTGCAAGTCAAGCCCAAGTGTTTGGGGATGAAGAAAAACGACTAGACTATTGACGTAGAACATGAACAAAACCTTATAAATTCTAGAGAATTGAATGTTCAACGAACACTTATTAAATGCCAACAGTACGCTCGGTCGTGGAGATTGAAAAGTCAAATAAATAAAGGTCCCAGCCTTTAGCTCACAGATAACAGAAGTAAAGATGAAATACTGATGTGCTGAGATAGGTTCTGTTAGGCAAGGAAGCCCAAACCCTGAAGGCTGCCCAGAGAGCTCAGGATCCCTGCTAATTTGAGTCACACCAGAAGGGAAGACATTAAACGCCAACAAGGGGAAATGTCAGAAATGAACTGGGGCCGGGTGCGGTGGCTCATGCCTGTAATCCCAGCGCTTTGGAAGGCTGAGGTGGACAGATCACCTGAGGCCAGGATTTCAAGATCAGCCTGACCAACATGGTGAAACCCCATCTCTACTGAAAATACAAAATTAGCTGGGTGTGGGGGCACACATCTGGTAGTCCCAGCTACACAGGAGGCTGAGGCAGGAGAGTCGCTTGAATCCAGGAGGCAGAGGTTGCAGTGAGTTGCCAAGATTGTGTCACTGCATTCCATCCTGGGCGACAGAGCAAGACTCAGTCTCAAAAAAAAAGAAAAGAAAAAGAAATGATAAACTGGGTGTCACAGGCGAGTTGCTGTTCCCACTTCCACTAACATCTGACACGGGATTGTGTGCTTTCACAGTTCATGTACAGAAAAGGAGAATCAGCCTAATCTCAAAGCCTAGTGTAGATCACGTCTCTCCCCAGCTTAAACAACCCCAGCGGTCCCCACTCTGCATCCAAACCTGGAAGAACCAAATCATGGCTCTGCTCAGCCTTAGTCCCTGCCACTGCCGTTCCTTCCCTCCCTCCAATGGGCTGAGCTCAGGCCCATCTCAGGGCCCTGGCACTTGCCGTTGCCCTGCTAAAGGCCTCCTCTCCTGGACATTCAGCATTTGTTACTCCAGTGCAATGATTCTCAGCCTTGGTTGCACGCTGGAAACACCAGGGGAGCTTTTAAAACATCCCAGTGTCTGGGTCCTTTCCCTGAACACTCTGGTTTAATCAGTCTGGGTGCAGTCCACATACTGGGAATTCTAAACATCCTCAAATGATTCTAATGTACCACTAATGTTAGGAACTTCTGCGCTAATTAAAGTAGCCACTCCTCTTATCCTTCTATCCCATGGCTCTTTTTTTTATTTTATTCATTTTTTTGTCACCACCTGAATGTAATATTTGTTTACATGTTCATTTTCTGACTCTCCCTACTAGAATATAAGCTCCACTAGGGCAGGCAGGGACTTTGGTATAGGATTTAGAACTGCCCCGGCACATAGTAGGTGCTCAATACATTCCTGTTGAATGAATAAGTGAACTTCCAGGCAAAGTTTTTATGGAAGCAGTTCCAAGATGAGTACTGTTTGGGAAATGTAATATGCCCTCCACTCTGTTAATCACAAACGTGAAAGGTTGTTCCTGCATAATAGAGGAAGAAATATCTAGGGTTTAAGTGAGACAGAATATAAGCATACCAGGGAGCAGACTGGGTTTGCAAATCCATTGAGCACAGGGGTTTTATGTAGAGGCCACCATTCAGAGAAGGGTCCTTAGGGGGTTCAGTGGAAGCCATGGCCACCTTTCCCTGTGGCTGTGTCCAGTGGCCCAAGAACGTGAAATCATCTTACCACCAGCATTCTCCATCAGGGATCTCCTGTTGAATATCAGTAGAGGAGTCAATAAATCTTCCAGGACTTTCCTCCATGGCCTCTGGCCTCTGGCCTCTGGTCTGCCAACTCAACAGAGTCACTTATAATTGAACATAAGGGTCACTACCAGGAAAGAGGACCATGAGTCACGTGGCCTGTGCTCTCCCTGTTTTTGCTCCAAGCAATAGTTCAAACAGGTTGCAGTGAAGGCAGGCAGATGTTGTGTTGGGGTATCCCACGGAGCGCTGGATGTAGGTGTGGAGGAGTTCATGCCCTGCCACGTGCAAGCTGGGCTGGCACAGGCTGAAGGGAGGACTCGCTCTCACCCAGAGATGTGAAGATTTGCAGGCAACTTGGCGAACTCAGGGTGGAGGTGGGGATGTTTGCCTGGAGTTGGGCCCCTCTCCGGACCTAACATTAGGATTCCACAAGCAAACGCTTTCATGAGAACGTTGTGATGGCCTGTCCGGATCACCAAATGCATCAACCAATGAGGGGACAGGCTACTGGTGGGTTTGCTGCAGTGAGCACAGTTAATTATTTTGACAATGAGCACAGTTAATTGAGTCTCCCCAAATAGCCTCCCTGCACCATGCAGTCAGAAAGACTGCAGTCTTTCCGACACTAAGATTCCTGGGAGCCTGTCACCCTGCCGGCAGGTGTAGAGAGTCGGGGAGGAGGTTAGCAAGCTGCGGAGTGTGACCCGAGGCCTGCCCAGCTCTCACTGGTGTTGACATGGGCACTGGGCAGGAAAGACAGGACGAGTGACCTTTGTTTCCTACCCCAGGTATGAGACCACCTCGAGTGAGGAGACCAGCGGTGAGGACAGCTCCCCAGAGGACTTGTCTGACAGTGAGGCTGAGAAGAAGTGTGATGGCCCAGACCACAGGCATGTCAAAGACGCCCACCTCACCTTCGAGGCTGGGCAGGGCATCCCCGAGGGCGCCTGCCATGCTGCCCAGGAAAGTGGGGCTGAGGAAGAAGTCCCCCACTCCAAGGCTGAGAGGTGAGTAAATGGACACAAACGCAGGCACTTATTCCTCTGAAAAAGGGCAAGGGCATATATCCACCCGCTCATGCGATCATTTGTTCATTCGTGTACCCATCCACTCGCCAGTGTTGTTTAAGTCTCTGTTTCATGCCCACACTGTGCACTGATTAAATGAGGCAGATATATAGCTCCTGCTTTCGTGGAATGTACTGTCACAGCCGGTGTCTATGTATAAAGTCAACATTTACCTAGCGCTAAACTGTGAAGGACTTTACAAGTATCCTTTCAACAGTCCTGCAGGGTAGAAGTTATTGTGACCACCACACTGTACAGATGTGGAAACAGAGACTTAGGGAAGTGCAGGGATGCAGCCAGCAGAGCAGGGACCCCAGCCCCAGTCCTTCTGACTGTTACCCATAAGCTTTTCTGCCTGTCCTGTTGACCATGCTGGCTTTTAAAGTGATGTGTCTTTTTTTTTTTTTTTTTTTTTTTAGCAGAGCAGGACCCCAGCCCCAGTCCTTCTTCTTCCTGACTGTCATCGCCCATGCTTTTCTGCCCGTCCTGTTGACCGCGCGCTGGGCTTTGCAAACCAGATGCATGCCCTTTTTTTTTTTGAGACAGAGTCTTGCACTGTCACCCGGGCTGGAGTGAAGTGGCACAATATCGGCTCACTGCAACCTCTGCCTCCCGGGTTCAAGTGATTCTGCTGCTTCAGCCTCCCCAGTAGCTGGGACTACAGGCGCCCACCACCATGCCCAGCTTTTTTTTTTTGTATTTTTTAGTAGAAATGGGGTTTCACTATGTTGGCCAGGCTGATCTTGAACGCCTGACCTTGTGATCCACCCGCTTCAGCCTCCCGAAGTGCTGGGATTACAGGTGTGCGCTACAAGTGCCTGGCCAGTGATGTGCCTTTTAAAGTGATGGGAGCAGCCAGGCACCATGGCTCACAGCTGTAATCCCAGCACTTTGGGAAGCTGAGGTGGGAGGATCCCTTGAGGTTAGGAGTTCGAGACTAGCCTGGGCAACAGAGTGAGACTCTGTCTCTATTTTAATTATAATATTTAATTTTTTAAGAAAAAATAATAGAAGTAAAGTGATGGAAGGTCATATGGGAGGAAAAGAAGAGCATTGCCTTTGGAGTCAGGCATACCTGGACTCAATTCCTGCCTCTGCCACGGTGTTACTTTAGGCAAAGTCCTTGAGCTGTGGTTGCCTCAGTTTCCTCATCTGTCAAATGTGCATAATAGCAACTTGATAGGTTTGATTGAGAACTACATGAGAAAAAGCAAGTAAATGCTTGGCACAGCACCTCCCACATACTAGGCTCTCAGTAAATGGTAGAAACAAGACGGTTTTTACCATTATCATCACTATCACCATCTCCAGCCTGGCTGCCAGAGGAGTGGTGAACAGTGAACGGGAGCCGATTGTCACCCAGGTCAGGGCTGCTCCAACGTGGCAGCAAGATAAGGACAGGCCAAGTGAGTCGGCTTCTTTGTGTCCAGTGTCTTTAAGCCTCACCTGAGGCCTCATGGTGCTGAACCTTCCTTCAGACTAATACGGGAAGAGTGCTTGTCACTGTGGACACCCCAGCTTCAACGAGTCTCATATTACTGACTCTTTTAGTACTTATGATGTCCTCCATGGAAGAATAACCCAAAGAAATTTTCTGGTATGGATTGGATTCTTTGATTTTTTTTTTCCAGCCTCCCAGGCAGAAAATATGTGGTCCAAAGTCAGAAAGACAGCCTTCCCCTTCCCAGCATGCCAGGAAATGCAGCTGGGCCTGTCCACCACCCCCTACCACAACCCCCCACCTAAATGCTTTGGTTATCGGCCCCAGCCCCTGACAAAAGCAGGATTAAATGGGCGACACACTTGGCTCATCTTCAGAAGCGTTCAGAAGCCAAGTCACATCGGCACACACCATGGTCACTCTGAATTTCTGAAGCACGCCCCCTCCTAGGGCAGTTGCCCAGGTTGGATTTTTGAGCTGCTGAGATGTGAAAGAGGAGGAGAGTGAAAGTCTTGTTTATCAACATGAAGAATTATTATGTAAATATGTGTGTATATATATTTGTTTTCTTTAGATATAAACCCTCAGAAGAATTTCTTAATGCATGCCAGGCACTGAGCCAGCATCTGCCAGAAACTGGGACCACCACGGACCAGCTCTTGGTACTGTAATTTTTCATTGTCATGTAAAGATTTCCCTTCTGTTTAAGACATTAACTCTGCCAGGGTGACTTTAGTCCCTTGCAGTGGTGTAAGTGTGCAGTTTACAGTGTGAGGCAGTAGTGTGGGCGTGCAGTGATGTGAATGGTGTGAGTGTGCAGTGTGAGGCAGCAGTGAGAGTGTGCAGTGGTGTGAGTATACAATGCACAGTGTGAGGCAGTGGTGTGAGTGTGCAGTGGTGTGAGTGTGCGGTGCACAGTGTGAGGCAGTGGTGTGAGTGTGCAGTGTGAGGCAGTGGTGTGAGTGTACAGTGGTGTGAGTGTGCAGTGTGAGGCAGTGGTGTGAGTGTGTGCAGTGGGTGTGAGCATAAAGTGCAGTGTGCAGAGGCAGTGGTATGAGTGTTTAGTGGTGTGAGTGTGCAGTGTGAGGCAGTGGTGTGAGTGTGCAGTGTGAGGCAGTGGTGTGAGTGTGCAGTGGTGTAGGTGTTGTGAGTGTGCAGTGTGAGTCAGTGGTGTGAGTGTGCAGTGGTGTGAGTGGTGTGAGTGTGCAGTGTGAGGCAGTGGTGAGAGTGTGCAGTGGTGTGAGTATACAATGCAGTGTGAGGCAGTGGTGTGGAGTGTACGTGGTGTGAGTGTGCATTGCACGGTGTGAGGCAGTGGTGTAGTGTACTGATGTGAGGCAGTGGTGTGAGTGTGCAGTGCAGTGGCAGAGGCAGTGGTGTGAGTGTGCAGTGTGAGGCAGTGGTAGTGTACAGTGGTGGCAGGTGTGCAGTGTGAGGCAGTGGTGTGAGTGTGCAGTGGTGTGAGCATAAAATTGCACAGTGTGAGGCAGTGGTATGAGTGTTTAGTGGTGTGAGTGTGCAGTGTGGGGCAGTGGTGTGAGTGTGCAGTGTGAGTCCAGTGTTGTGAGTGTGCAGTGGTGTGAGTGGTGTGAGTGTGCAGTGTGAGGCAGTGGTGAGAGTGTGCAGTGGTGTGAGTATACAATGCACAGTGTGAGGCAGTGGTGTGAGTGTACAGTGGTGTAGTGTACAGTGTGAGGCAGTGGTGTGAATGTGCAATGGTGTTTGTTGTGGGTGTGCTGTGTGAGGCAGTGGTGTGGTGTGCAGTGGTTCAAGTGGTGTGATGCAGTGCACAGTGTGAGGCAGTGGTGGGAGTGTGTAGTGGTGAATGGTGTGAATGTGCAGTGCACAGTGAGACTGATGGTGTGTAGTGTACAGTAGTGAGTGTTGTGAGTTTGCAGTGTAGAGGCAGTGGTGTGAACGTGCAGTGGTGAGTGTTGTGAGCACACACTGTGGGGCAGTGGTATGGTGTGCAATGGTGCAAGTGGTGTGTGTGTGCAGTGTGAGTCAGTGGTGTTAATGTGCAGTGGTATGAGTTGTGAGTGCACAGTGTAAGGCACTGGTGTGATCATGCAGTGTGAGGCAGTGGTATTGAGTGTGCAGTGTGAGTCAGTGGTGTAGTGTGCAATGGTGTGAGTGTGCAGTGTGGAGTCAGTGGTGTGAGTGCAGTGGTGTGGTGGCAGTGCACAGTGTGAGGCAGTGGTGTGAGTGTGCAGGGGTGAGTGTGCAGTGTGAGGCAGTGGTGTGAGTGCAGTGGTGTGAGTGTGCAGGGGTGTGAGTGCACAGTGTAAAGCAGTGGTGTGAGTGTGCAGTGGTGTGAGTGTGCAGTGCTGCAGTGTAAGGCAGTGGTGTGAGTGTGCAGTGGTGTGAGTGTGCAGTGTGAGGCAGTGGTGTGAGTGTGCAGTGGTGTGAGTGTGCAGTGTGAGGCAGTGGTGTGAGTGCAGTGGTGTGAGTGTGCAGCGTGAGGCAGTGGTAGCCAGGTGTGCAGTGGTGTGAGTGTGCAGTGTGAGTCAATTAGTGTGAGTGTGCAGTGGTGTGAGTGTGCAGTGTGAGGCAGTGGTGTGAGTGTTTAGTGGTGTGAGTGTGCAGTGTGAGTCAGTGGTGTGAGTGTGCAGTGGTGTGAGTGTGCAGTGTGAGGCAGTGGTGTGAGTGTGCAGGGTGTGAGTGATGTGAGTGTACGGTGCATGAGTGTGAGGCAGTGGTGTGAGTGTGCAGTGCATAGTGTGAGGCAGTGGTGTGAGTGTGCAGGCCAGGGCCCTTTCCTCTGGAGTGTTCTCTCCTTTACCCAAGCACTGCTGCCCCTTGCAAGTGATGGAGTCACACTGAAGTGGAGCCCGTGGATATGCACACAGAATGCAGGCGGGGCTCAGAGCCTTCACACATCATTAAGCAATACCATAGTGGCTGTCATCAGACTCTGTGACTTAGGCTCGATACCCCTGTGGTTTTGAGAGGACTTTAGGCAGAGTGTGAAAAGCATGTAGAATGGGAACTGAAGGTTCTATTCCCAGGACCCTCATCTGAGATATTGGGCAAGTCAGTTTTGATGCTCCAGAGCCTCTGTTTCTTCATCAATAAAATGAAGGTGGTGGATGGCATGTTTCCATTCGTCTCGAGCCCTGACGTTTAATTCTATAGTCATTACTGTTTTCCTTGAAGTGTACCTCTGGTCAAGGGCCGAAAACAAGAAAATACGCATTTGCTCCTTCACACCTTCATGGTTTACAGAGATTTAAATACATAGTGACTCTACTTTTAATCCAAGGGATATTGGCACAGGCACATTTCCCAAGTTATGAGAGCGCTGTAAGACCATTGGTGGAACAACCCGTAAGCATTTTCAAAGCCATTTTACTCTCCTTTGCAAGAAACCCTAGAAATAAAACAAATCAATGCATCAGTGTTTATTTCTTACCCAACTCGTTTCTGTTATTTTATCTTTAGCTGATCTGACAAATAGTTGTTCCCTAAAGAACCAATATGTAGGAGCCAGGTGAGGCAGTGGTGTGAGTGTGCAGTGGTGTGAGTGTGCAGTGTGAGTCAGTGGTGTGAGTGCAGTGGTGTGAGTGTGCAGTGTGAGGCAGTGGTGTGAGTGTGCAGGGGTGTGAGTGGTGTGAGTGTACAGTGCACAGTGTGAGGCAGTGGTGTGAGTGTGCAGGCCAGGGCCCCTTTCCTCTGGGTGTTCTCTCCTTTACCCAAGCACTGCTGCCTGAAGTGATGGGTCACACTGAGGAAGTGGAGCCCGTGGATATGCACAAGAATGCAGGCCGGGGGCTCAGAGGCACTTCCCACACATCATTAAGCAATGCACCATGAGTGGCTGTCATCAGACTCTGTGACTTAGGCTCACGATGCCCCTGTGGTTTGAGAGGACTTTAGGCAGAGTGTGAAAAGCATGTAGAATGGGAACTGAAGGTTCTATTCCCAGGACCCTCGTCTGTGAGATATTGGGCAAGTCAGTTTGATGCTCAGGGCCTCTGTTTCTTCATCAATAAAATGAAGGTGGTGGATGGCATGTTTCCATTCGTCTCGAGCCCTGACGTTTAATTCTATAGTCATTACTGTTTTCCTTGAAGTGTACCTCTGGGTCAAGAGACCGAAAACAAGAAAATACGCATTTGCTCCTTCACACCTTCATGGTTTACAGAGATTTAAATACATAGTGACTCTACTTTTAATCAAGGGATATTGGCACAGGCACATTTTCCCAAGTTATGAGAGCGGCTGTAAGACCCGTGGTGGAACAACCCGTAAGCATTTTTCAAAGCCATTTTACTCTCCTTTGCAAAAGAGCCCTAGAAGTAAAAACAATCAATGCATCAGTGTTTATTTCTTACCCAACTCGTTTCTGTTATTTTATCTTTAGCTGATCTGACAAATAGTTGTTCCCTAAAGAACCAATATGTAGGGCCAGGGCCAGTGTCTCACGCCTGTAATCCCAGTACTTTGGGAGGCCGAGGCAGGTGGATCACTTGAGCCCAGGAGTTTGAGACCAGCCTGGGCAATATGGCAAAACCCTGTGTCTACGAAAAAATACAAAAAATTAGCCTGGCGTGGTGGCACGTGCCTGTAGTCCCAGCTACTCAGTGGCTGAGGTGGGAGAATCACCTGAGCCCCAGAGGCTGAGGCTGCAGTGAGCTGTGATTGCACCACTGCACTCCAGCCTCAGCACTGGAGTGAGATCCTGTCGCAAACACAGGAAAAAAATAAAAAGAACCAATATGTGGATGTTGATCAAAACTCCTGTCACTTATTCTTAATTGAATTAATGAACTAAGGTCTTTCTTAGCCCTTCATTCAAAACCCACCACTCGGCTGGGCGCAGTGGCTCACACCTGTAATCCCAGCACTTTGGGAGGCCGAGATGGATGGATCACCTGAGGTCAAGAGTTCAAGACCAGGCTGGCCAACACGGCAAAACCCTGTCTCTACTAAAAATACAAAAATTAGCTAGGCATGGTGGCCCGCGCCTGTAATCCCAGCTACTTGGGAGGCTGAGGCAGGAGAATTGCTTGAACCCAGGAGGTGGAGGTTGTGGCAAGCTGAGATCATGCAACTACACTCCAGCCTGGGCCACAGGCTGGCCCACTCTGTCTCAAAAGAAACCAACCAACCAAACAAAAACAAAAAACAAAATCCACCCCTCTGTTCCTTAATATTAGGATCTTTCTCCAGATTTTCTTGAAGATCCCACGGGCAAAGGAGATACTCTGATTTATAAAAGTGTTTTAGCCACAAAAGATTCCACTGATTCTGCTCTAGAAAAGTGATCAGAGGATATGCAAGCCTGGCACCACACCCATGTTAGGATCAAAGCAATGGATACCGTCTCCCTTGCCCCTACCTTAGAGGAAGAAGCAGGTGTGTAAGGACCTCACTCTGTAGAACCATGAAGGTAAGGGGCCAGTCCCCTTTTACTCCCATTTTATAATAGAACAAGTAAGGATCAAAAAGGTTATATGACTTCCAAGGTCCCACAGCTAAGCCAGGGATTTTATTTATTTATTTATTTTTATTTCTATTATATTATTTTTTTAATCTGAGACGGAGTTTTGCTCTTGTTGCCTAGGCTGGAGTGCAATGGTGCACTCACACACAACCTCCACCTCCCGGGTTTCAAGCGGTTCTCCTGCCTCAGCCTCCTGAGTAGCTGGGATTACAGGCATGCGCCACCATGCCTTGCTAATTTTGTATTTTTAGTAGAGACAGGGTTTCTCCATGTTGGTCAGGCTGGTCTCAAACTCCCGACCTCAGGTGATCCCCTCGTCTCGGCCTCCCAAAGTGTTGGGATTATAGGCGTGAGCCACTGCGCCCAGCCAAGCCAGGGATTAAACTGTGTCACATCGATTTAGTGACTCCAAGTCCAGGACTCTTCCTGGCGTGAGTATGAAATCATTTATCATAATCACTTCTCAATAGCTTCTCCTCCCCATTAGGTACATACTCTTTAAACACTGAGGTCATGTCACACACAGAGTTGATGTCATTGGCTCTGGCACTCTTCTCGTTCATGGTCCCAGAGGAGCTGAATGCTGCAGATAGCAGGGCCCTGCCGTGGGTTGTTAAACCATTTACTCTCAAGGTCCTTGCAAAGCTTAAAAGCCAAACATGTCAAGCACACCTGTTTGGGTTTTATTTCAAGCATAAATTGGGGATGTTGTTTGTCTTCGCATGCATGTTTCCCATTAGTAAGATGATGCGAGTTTCCAGCTATGCCTATTAAACACACGCAGGAGTCCTGGTAGAGTCTGGGGCAAGGTCAGTATGGGCTGGCTGTGTGAGGGGGAAGGAGAGGGCCTTTGTCATTGTGAGCATACCAGGGGTGTGAGCTAAACTTCTTACTGAGGGTGTCAGCTAAACTTCCCGCAGACTCAAACTTTCTCCAGTTAAGTGCCTTGTTACTGGTTACTAGGCTGTCCTCCCAGTTCTCCTTTCCACTCCCAGAGGGGGCTGATCGCACAAGTACAAAGTATGTTGCTGCATTCCTAACCCCACCAGCTCTGAGCCCTTCAGGAATAAATCACATGGCAAACTGGAGGGAGCTGAAGGGACAGAGGCCAAAGCTGGCTTTCCTTGTGTAAGGGAGGAACTCTTGCTGGCCAGGGAACCTCTTGGAATTGGTCTCTTTTGGGGTTTCAGAGGCAAAGCTTGAACACCATCAGTCAAGAGTGGTTCCGCGTCTCCAGCCGGAAGTCGTCTAGCCCCGCTGTGGTGGCCTCCTACCTCTGCGAGGTCCAGCCTCACTCCCCACACTTCCTGAAGCTGCTTGTCAACTTGGCCGATCGCAACGGGAACACAGCCCTTCACTACAGTGTGTCCCACTCCAATTTCTCCATCGCGAAGCTGCTGCTGGAGACAGGTCAGAAGTGGTTGCATTTATACAGTCTGGGTCCGTCCTTGAAGGACATGGCAATTTTTTAAATTTTTTTCAAAAATTTCAATAGCTTTGGAAGTACAAGTGGTTTTTGGTTACGTGGATGAATTGTACAGTGGTGAAGTCTGGTCTTGTAGTATACCTATCACCCAAATAGTGTACATGGTACCCCATAGGTAGCTTTTCCTCACTGCCTTCTGCCCTCCCCTCTTCTGACTCTCTGGTATAATTGTCCTTTATGCCACTCTGTATGTCTTCATATACCTGTGGCTTAGCTCCAACTTATAATGAGAACACGCAGTATTTGGTTTTCCATTCTTGAGTTACTTCACTTAGGATAATGGCCTCCAGTTCCATCCAGGTTGCTGCAAAAGACATTGTTTTGTTCTTTTTTGTGGCTGAGTAGTATTCCATGGAATGTATGTATGTGTGTGCATATATGTACATGTAACATTTTATTATATGTATATGTATGTATATATTATATATTTTATATATATGTATATATAACATTTTCTTTATCCACTCATCAGTTGATGGGCATTTAGGTTGATTCCATGTCTTTGCAATTGTGAATTGTGCTGTGATAGCATACAAACGCGGGTGTCTTTTTGATAGAATGACTTGAAGGGCAATTCTTGTACACATTTCTTTCTGGTGAGGAAATGCTTCATTGTCGAAAGTTCCCTCTGGGCTGGCTGGGAGCGGTGGCTCACGCCTGTAATCCCAGCACATTGGGAGGCCGAGGCGGGCAGATCACGAGGTCAGGAGATCGAGACCATCCTGGCTAACAGGGTGAGACCCCGTCTCTACTAAAAATACAAAAAATTATCTGGGTGTGGTGGCGGGCGCCTGTAGTCCCAGCTACTCGGGAGGCTGAGGCAGGAGAATGGCATGAACCCGGGAGGCGGAGCTTGTAGTGAGCCGAGATCACGCCACTGCACTCCAGCCTGGGCGACAGAGCAAGGCTCTGTCTCAAAAAAAAAAAGAAAAAAAGAAAAGAAAGTTCCTTCTGTGTTCCAGAAACTGGACCAGACCATGTTGCCTCTGTTTGCCTCATTTGTTCTTCACAGCATTCCTGTGATGTGGGTATTGTTCTCATGTTACAGCTAAGGAAACTCAGGCTCAAGAGTTATAAAACTTGCTCAGGTTACAGCACTGGTCAAGGGTAGAGTCAGGTTTTGTACTCAGTTTGTCCACCTCCACAGCTATAACCGTACTGCCTCTGGGGAAAATGGCATTTTCCCATCTTCAGAAGATACTTTTTAACAAAGGTCGTGGCTCCATTTGACCAATTTGACTCAACTTGATTCATTCGTCTTTCATCAGATATTTATTGACTACACATGAGGTCCATACTGGCTACTACCAGGGATGCAAAGGTGAGCCAGGTTAGCCCTCTGCTTCCTGGGAGCTAACAGTCTAGCAATTGGGATGGAGCTGGATGGTGGCTCATGAAAGAGAGATAGAGAAAGCGATTTAGGAACTGAAATGAGAGCATGTCTAGTGCAGGGAGTGGCAAAGGTGCACTGGAGCAGGCAAGACTCCAGCAGGCAGTGTTCCAGGCAGAAGGAACTCCATGGAGGTTAGATAGGGAAAATGCCTGAAGACCAGAAAGCTTGTAGTTTGGATGGGATGGGAATTAAGGTTGGAAGGGTGAGTTGGAGCCACCACATGGAGAAATGGAGGACCTGGAATGCCAGGCTGAACCCTGCTTGGAAGGTCCCAGGAAGTCAGTGCAGGTTTTTTTGTAGGAAACTCCATAACCAGGGTAATTCTCTAAAAGAGTCATTTGACAGTAGGGGTGGGTTAGTGAAGGCAGCAGGAGAAGTGGTGGCAGGGCAGACAGGAGGCCATTACAGAGGTCCACAGAGAGGTAGTGAGGGCTTATAATAGGTGAGGATGGTAGGAACTGAATAGCAAAAAGCCATTGGGAGGTCAGGCATTATGGCTCATGCCTGTAATCCCAGCACTTTGGGAAGCCGAGGTGGGCAGATCACTTGAGGTCAGGAGTTCAAGACCAGCCTGGTCAACATGGCAAAACCTTGTCTCTACTAAAAACACACAAAAAAATTAGCCGGGCATGGTGGCGTGCACCTGTAATCTCAGCTACTATGGATGCTGAGGCAGGAGAATTGCTTGAACCCAGGAGGCGGAGGTTGCAGTGAGCCGAGTTCACACCACTGCACTCCAGCCTCCAGAGCAACAAAGCTCCAGCAACAGAGCAAAACTCTATCTCAAAAGATTAAAAAAAAAAAAAGACTGGGCACAGTGGCTCATGCATGCAATCCCAACACTTTGGGAGGCTGAGGCAGGCAGATCATTTGAGGTTCAAGACCAGCCTGGCCAACATGGTGAAACCCTGTCTCTATTAAAAATACAAAAATTAGCTGGGTGGTAGTGACGCATGCCTGTAATCCCAGCTACTTGGGAGGCCAAGGCAGGAGAATCGCTTGAGCCTGGGGTGGGTGGAGGTTTTGGTGAGCCGAGATAGTGCCACCGCACTCCAGTCTGGGTGACAGAGTGAGACCCTATCTCAAAAAAAAAAAAAGTCATTGGGAAGGTAGTGCCCGACTGGTGAGGTGAGTTGGAGCTCTCTGTCAAGCCTGGATGGTTGAGAAGACAGTGGGCTGCAGGAGGAGAAGGACTAAATGTGGAGGAAGCAGAAAGGATAATTCAGTTTGGGGCAGATTTTTAGTTTCTGGAGACGTGCAAAGGCTATTGAGAATTCCAGATGCAAAATGAAAAGGCAACAGAGCTTTGGGTGGGGCCGGCCAGAGCACGTGCAATGAGGCCTTTAGGAGAGGAGGCCTCTCTTGCTCTTGGTTATCCTGTGCAGAGAGAGAGAGAGCACGCCAGTGAAGGAGACCTAGGCAGAGTCATGTGATAACTAGAAGAAATAAGAGGATTGTGGCTGATGGGGAAGGACAGCCCATGAAAAACAAAGAGTGTCAACTGCATCAGATTCTGCAGGGTCCCTGAAGGATGATGCCTGGGTTTGGCAGATGGAGGGGACGGGGGGTGCCACTAGTGACTTTGGAGACAGCTGCTTTGGGGCATGTTGGGAGGAAACCAGCTAGAAGAGGGGAAGGAGCAAAGCGCCAGGCTTGGGGAAGGCAGTGATGGAGTGTCTTGGCTGAAGGAGGCAGGAGAGCCTACGGAGAGTTCGTTGTGTGTTTGTCTGGGGAGAGGAGATCTGAACATATTTTTTGACTGAGAAGAAGAATCCAAGAAAGAAGAGGAACAGGTAAGCTGGGGAACAGAGACAGAGAATGAGAGACAGACAAAGAGAGACATGGAGAGGAAGAGAATGAGAGACAGAGACAGACAGAAAAAGAAAGAGAGAGAGACAGGGAGAGAAAAAGGAAGAGAGATAGAGACTGACAGAGAATCAGAGACAGAGAAAGAGAGAGGTGAAAGATACAAAAGAGAGAAGCCACTTGGCGAAGCAAGGTCTAGGAGGAGCTGGGAAAGCCTGGGCCCCACAGCAGAGGCAGGTGAGGGCAGCCGAGGCAAGACGCTGGGCCATTCGTTTCTCTGAGATGGAAGCGAAAAAAGGAGAAAGTGGGTAACAGTGCAGAGAGACGTTGAGGAGAGCAGGGAGGTGGAGGCCACTGGCCTCAGATGGCCTCGATCTTCTCAGGAAAGTGAGAGTAGAATCAGGGTTACAGATTGGAAAGGGGTAGTTAACAGTCAACCAAAGACAGGTGTGTGATGAGGCTGAGCTAAAGCTCATGGGCCTCGGTCAAATGTCATCTATGAGTTTAAGAAGGCTGTATGGGGCTGTCTAGGAGAGTCCGTACAAGAGGTATAAAACCCCAAATGATCCCCACAGATGTGGCCTTCTGCTAAGTATTTAGCATCTGTTAAATATAACTTAAATGTATTATGAATTATATTATATTTGTAAATTATGTTATAAATTATATTGTATTTATATTTATAAATATAAGTTATAGAATAATGAATATAATTATTTCATTTAATAATAAAATTTTATTGTTAGAATAGGATGATTATCCCTCTTTATAGACCATGAAAGTGACATTCAGAAAAGTCAGCAAACTTACCCTAGATCACCCAATAACTAAGTGTGCTACTAGGATTTAAAGTCAATACTGGGCCAGGCGAGGTGGCTCATGCCTATAATCCCAGCACTTTGGGAGGCTGAGGCGGGGGGATCACTTAAGCTCAGACGTTCAAGACCAGCCTGAGCAACAGGGTGAAACCCTATCTCCACCAAAAATACGAAGATTAGCCAGATGTGGTGGTACACGCCTGTGGTCCCAGCTACTTGGGAGGCTGAGGTGGGAGGATCGCTTGAACCCAGGAAGTTGAGGCTGCAGTGAGCCGTGATCGCACCACTGCACTCCAGTGTGGGTGACAGAGTGAGACCTGGACTTAAAAAAAAAAAAAAAGAAGAAGAAAAAGAAAAATTGGTCCCATTGCTCTTTTCATTTCTGACACCTAGGAGGTAGAGCATAACTCTTCCTTTAGGAGCCCTGAGGTAGGAATTTAAATGAACATCAAAAGTCTGAATTTAGGACCCAACGGCTTTCCCCAACTTGGGTCCTGTCTGGCTAAAATCCCTCTTGTGGCTTCCTATTGCTCTTAGTGTGAGAGGCGGCTTCTTCAACCTGTCCTTCAGGACCCTGCCTGCCCTGGCTCCCACCTGCTTGGGCCGTCTCTGCTGCCGCCATGCTCTCCTCCTTCCCTCCACTCTAGCCACGCTGGCCTCACTCACCAAGGTCATTCCCTCCTGGGATTTTTGTATTTGCCTTCTACCTGGACTCTTCCCCCGAGGCTCTTCTTGTGACTGGCTCTTTCTCGTCATTCAAGTCACAGTCCAAATGTCATCTCCTCAGAAGTCTTCCTGGTGCTTCTGTCTAAAGTGGCTGACCCCACCTCTCTCTAGGGGAGCACCCTCTTTCTTTCTTGAGACACTTTTTGCTTTTCATTTCTACTCAACAGAATGTTCATTCACT